GCTAAACTCTCACTCAAAATCAAAGGAACGGTACACTATTTTCTAGACAAACAGCAGCTCATGAACTTCATAGACTCAAAACCAAACCTAAAACAAGGGCTAAAGGGACAACCATAAGACAAGACAAACCCTACAACCACAACAAACCCTTACAGAAAGATGACACAAAATCCCATAACAGTAATCTCTCTCAATGTCAGCGGTCTAAATTCACCATTTAAGAGACACAGAGTGGCAAAATGGATACAGAGACAGAACCCAACATTCAGCTGCCTACAAGAAACTCATCTCAACAGCCAGAGCAAACACAGACTCAAAATCAAGGGATGGAAAACAATCCTGCAAGCAAACAGCTCCCTCAAAAAAGCTGGGGTGGCCATACTAGTATCCGACAGCATTAATTTCAGGCTGAAAAATATTAGAAGGGACAGCGAAGGCTATTTTCTCTTCATCAAGGGACACATACAACAGGAAGAAATCACACTCTTAAATGTATACGCATCTAATGAGGGAACGGCTAAATATTGGAAAAAAATGAGAATGAAGACACGAGCTACCAAAACTTATGGGATGCAGCGAAAGCCATTTTAAGGGGAAAATTTATAGCTCTGCAAGCATATTTCAAGACAGAAGAAAGGATACACATAAACAACCTGACTTCACAGCTCAAGATCTTAGAAAAAGATCAACAGAAGGACCCCAAATTGGGCAGAAGGAAAGAGATCATAAAACTTAGAGCAGAAGAGAAGGAACACATGGAGGGTGCGGGATCCCGGAGGAAAAAAAAAAAGAAAAAACAGGTTCCAAAAAGAGCCGAGAGCACCGGCAAGTTCCAGATGGAGTAGGTGCCGCATTCCGCCTCCCCCAGATGGAACCCTGGTGACCAGAAGCCTCTACAAACACAGCTCGAGTATGCGGGAACGAGGACTTTTTCTCAAAACCGCGCGGCCGCATATGCAGCCGCGCGACATCTTTCTATATACAAAGTGATCAATGAGAAGTAAACGACCCAATCTTTCTCCCTGAAAATCAGAGTTAAGTTTGGAGCACGGCCACAGCCCCAGAAACACAAGGACTTAATGCAGAACCCAGCAGCTTAGAGCAGAAAAGTGAATGGACGATGAGTTAACCCAGGCCATCATTTCTGCCCAGAGGGGAAAGGGTGTTGCCCCATTCGCCCTCTCTTCTCTGGAAAGAAGGATGGCGGCCGCATGGGAGCCTTGTGGACAGCAGGTATGAGCCGGGGGTGTGGGGGCGACTAAAACCTCATGGGAAGGGGGGCGTTTCGGTCCGCCCTTCACGCCCTACCGAGGTCACCAGTTGCCCCCCACGAGCGGCTCTCCAGCACGGCCATAGCCCCAGAAGCACAAGGACTTAATGCAGAACCCAGCAGCTTGGAGCAGAAAAGTGAAAGGACTATGCGTTAATCCAGGCAATCATTTCTGCCCAGAGGGGAAAGGGTGTTGCTCCCTTCCGCCCTCCTCCCTCTGGAAAGAAAGATGGCGGCCACATGGGAGCCTTGTGGACAGCAGGTATGAGCCGGGGGTGTGGGGGCGACTAAAACCTCATGGGAAGGGGGGCGTTCCAGTCCGTCCTTCACGCCCTACCGAGGTCACCAGTCACCCCCCGTGAGCGGCTCTCCAGCACGGCCATGGCCCCAGAAGCACAAGGACTTAATGCAGAACCCAGCAGCTTGGAGCAGAAAAGTGAATGGACTATGCGTTGATCCAGCCCATCAAGTCTGCCGGAGGGGAAAGGGTGTTGCCCCATTCGCCCTCTCCTCTCTGGAAAGAAAGATGCGGCCACATGGGAGCCTTGTGGATAGCAGGTATGAGCCGGGAGTGTGGGGGCGACTAAAACCTCATGGGAAGGGGGGCGTTTCGCTCCGCCCTTCATGCCCTACCGAGGCCACCGGTTGCCCCCTGCGAGCGGCTCTCCAGCACGGCCACGACTCCAGAACACAGAAACCAATTTCTTAACTATCTGACTTTCAGTAGAAATACTTCCAGGGTCAATAGGTAAAATAGCAGAAATCCAAAACCAACATTTAATTCTTGAACCCAGCTGTAGAAAGCAAATCACTTCACAATGCTTTTTCAGCATGTCTGATTTGGGGGGGGGGGGGTAAACTCTAAATAATAGTGGTGAATCTTTTATTGAAACAATGAATCTAATCAAAGCAGATAGAGTGTTAACTAGAATTCATCTGCCTCACAGGGACGGGGAGGGGTGGGGGGTGGGGTTTTATTGGGGTTCTTCATGGTAAAAAATAAGTATTGGTAAAGGGAAATGTGTTTGATATTTGCATGACTGAGACATAAACCTGAAAGCTTTGTAACCTTTCCCACAGTGATTCAATAAAAAAAAAAAAAAAAACTTAGAGCAGAAATCAACGACATGAAAACCAAAGAAACAATCCGAAAGATCAATGAAACCAAGAGCTGGTTCTTCGAGAAAATAAACAAGATAGACAAACCACTTGCAACACTCACAAAGAAACAGAGAGAGAGAACCCTAATAAATTGAATCAGAAATAAGAACGGGGATATCACAACAGAAACCAAAGAAATTCAAAAGATCATCAGAGACTACTTTGAAAGTCTGTATGCCATGAAACAAGAGAACCTAGAAGAAATGGATAAATTCCTGGATTCCTATCATCTCCCAAAGCTGAATCAAGAAGATATAAAGTACGTGAATGGACCTATTCACATCAAAGAAATTGAAACTGTAATCAAAAGTCTTCCCAAAAACAAAAGCCCAGGTCCAGATGGATTCACTAGCGAATTTTTCCAGACATTTAAAGAGGACCTACTGCCAGTTCTTCTCAAGCTTTTCCAGGAAATTGAAAAAACGGAAACACTCCCAAACTGTTTCTATGATATCTCTCTAATACCAAAAGGAAACAAAGTCACCACGAGAAAAGAAAACTACAGGCTGATATCCCTGATGAACACGGATGCCAAGATTCGCAACAAAATACTAGCAAATAGAATTCAACTACTCATCTAAAAGATCATACACCATGACCCAAGTAGGATTTATCCCGGGGATGCAAGGCTAGTTTAACACTCGGAAATCAATCAACATAATCCACCATATCAACAAAAGAAAAGATAAAAATCATATAATCATATCAATAGATGCAGAAAAAGCATTTGACAAGATTCAGCACCCATTTATGATGAAAACCCTAGCCAAAATGGGGATAGAGGGTCTTTTCTCAATATAGTTAAAGCCATCTACCACAAACCTACAGCAAACATTATCCTCAATGGGGAAAAACTGAGAGCCTTCTCCCTACGATCAGGGACAAGACAAGGATGCTCACTCTCTCCACTACTGTTCAATATAGTACTGGATGCACTTGCAATAGCGATTAGGCAAGAAAAACCCTTTATGCTTAAGATATATATCTAGATTTTTTGGTTATACGTGAAAAATTTTTTTTATCTCATTTCCATATCTACACCATTCTGGTCTCACTATCACTATCTCATTCACTTATTTACCATCCCTATCTCATTCACTCATAGATTTCTTTCAAATTTCTGTTGCAAAAACACTTTTTTAAATCACAGTAAGATGGCTTTTATATTTTTGAGTCATAAGGATAGTATAGTCTTGTATAGAAAGATAAACCACAAAAAGAAGAAAAGTTCCTAATATGTGTAGTATGTGTAGTGTTGTGTTGCTTCCTAAAATCCTTCACATACAGTCCCAGTGAAATATGTTGGAAACACTTCAGTATTCTCCTATTTTTGAATGAGACAACTGGAAAGAACAGCTTCTAATTGCCAAGGTCATTTCTATACAGTCAGTATGACTTGTGAGTTGATTCCTGTGTATATTGGAACTTAAATCTATAATTATAAGCTGTAGGAGAATACAGCTGCAAGAAACGTACCCCTGGGCACTCTTAGACTTTGGACAATGCAGTGCTTAGCTTATCTGTCTTAATTGTCCAGTGGTGTGTGCCATTTGCTTTGTAAAGTAAATGGCAATGTAATGGGGGAGAGAGGGAGGTTGGAAATTTGGAAGTTTTTGCCAGAGCAGGATTTGTCAGAGTGGTAGTGCGGTGGGAAGGGCGATTGCCTTTCATGCTGTCAACTCAGATTCTATCCTGTGTGCCCCATATGTCCCCTGAGTCTACCGGGAGTGATCCCTTAGCACTGCTCCAAAAGTAAGCCAGATGTAGCCCAAAAACTATTTTTAAAAAGTTTGTGAATTTGCGTACAACCCCACTCCACCTTCTACCCCCACTTTTAAAAAGAAAAAATGGGGAAAAACACTTCAGATACACACTCCACATCACTCCACCTTGAAGAAGAAAGCAATAGGAATAAAACAAAATTGATTTCCCAGGAACAGCGTTGGATGCCGGGATGGTGCCACAAAGCAGAAGCTCAGAAGATGAAATCATAATCTCACATAGTGGTTGCCAGAAACTGAAGCCCAGCTCTGAGTGACATAATTCCTTAGTCCTTTGTGAGGAGTAACACTATTTTTGGTGCTTCCTTTGTGGTGAACAATCTGAATGTAATATTCTTACTGATACAGGTTGGAGAACAGCTTTCTCTATCTGCCCAGGGATTTGATATGGAATTTAAAGATGAAACTCTTCCTAAGAGTAGAGAAACAGAGACTAGCTCTAGAGTTCAGAAGTGTTTAGACTAACAAGGAGATAGAAAATCTTAGCAAGATTTTCTTCTTTCACTTTCTACTCTTATTCTGCAATGACCTGGAGTTAAACACTGTGTTGGTTCTTATAACATTTATAAATAGAAAAAATCAGCTGACCTGAAAAATTGAGATCCTGGTCTACAATAGGAAGTATTATGTATAAAATGCTGAGAATTGCTGCCTGGAAAGAAAATTCGTGTACCATATGTAGTATTTAAATTTCTACAAAACATTTTGAATTAATACAGCTTGTTATTAGATACAGTTAAGACATTTTGATCAGTAATACTTCTAAGTGGTTTTTGTATTTCTTTCAGATGTTGCCCATTTAATGTGGTTTGAAAGACTCTATGTTTGGCTTCAGTGTTTTGAAAAATATATCTTGTACCCAGCAATAATTTTAAATGCCCTCACTATTGATGCATTTTCAATAAGCAATTACAGGAGACTTGGTACTCAGTAAGTAGTATTTTATTCTTGTTATGATTTGGATTGTGATGTTTGTAAATTCTAGTCAATGGAGCGATAGCACAGCGGGTAGGGCGTTTGCCTTACAAGCGGCCAACATGGCCGACCCGAGTTCTATTCCTCTGCCCCTCTCGGAGAGCCCGGCAAGCTACCGAGAGTGTTCGATATGCCAGACACAGTAACAACAAAGTCTCCAATGGAGACGTTACTGGGCCCGCTCGAGCAAATCGACGATCAACGGGAGGGCCTTTACCTTTACCTTTCTCTAAAAAGGCTGTATGTAGCATTAGCCAACTTAAACTACTAATTAAAAGCCATGGTGCTCTTTTACTCAAACTCACCAGAGAAATATAGTTATTGTAAAGTGACTGGGTACAAATGAAATTAGATCTGCTTGAAATAATGTTTTGAATGAATGTCAGGAAATTTGAAAATCATCCTGAAAAAGCATAGTCAGTGATTATTACTATGATGACACAGTGTGATCTGGGTTCCTGGAGTTTGTACCATTATGCTTAAATCTGTATAAATTTACTTGTGTCATTTCATTTAGACTAATCCTCTATCAATTTTGAGCTTTATAGATGGGGAAATTAATCATTTTTACTTGCAATCTCTGCATTTAACAGGAGGAGACCCAGAATAAAAATTGGAGCATGATTATTTCATGGCATCAGGAGACCCTTTTGTTGTTTGCTTTTGAAGGGGCGGCATACCAGTGTTCAGGGATTATATCTGGCTCTATGCTCATGGATCTCACTTGGTGGTCACAAAATTAATTTAAATTATAAACAATGAAAATAAAGAAAAACATAAACTATTGGTAGTTAATAGGTAAAATTTTAAAATAACCTTATTAAAATACTGAGCTTTTTCTTTTGTCAGAAACTACATGTCTATCATTGCATCATCTTCAGTAAGATTTTTTTGTGATAATGCAGTATTCCCTTGAGCAAGACGCTAATAGGGGCCACAAGATCTGGGTTTTCTCACACGGGGTCAATTTTTCTGTGAAATCTGTTATTGTTGCAGTCCTTCATATAAGCTTTCGAGGAGCTCTGGGTACTGAATCTTAAGGATTAAAAACTACCCTTGAGACCATAGACAAGTTACTCAAACTCAGATTCAATATCTTCCTCTGTCAGAAGTGGAGAAAAACAGGGTTCTCCCTTTTGAATTTTGTTTTGATTGTTTCTAAAGGACATAATGCACGATCAGCACTCAGAAATTCTTGTGTTATGACCAGAGTTTCCCCACAAATTGATTGCTTCTTTACTTTACTTTCCAATAGCTGGGACATCTTTCTGATGATCATTGCTGGCATGAAACTGCTGAGGACTTCTTTCTGCAATCCGGTTCACCAGTTTATTCATCTGAGCTTCACTGTAATCTTTTTCCATTTTGACTACAAAGATTTTTCTGAGAGTTTCCTACTGGATTTCTTCATAGTGTCCATTTTATTTAGCAAGGCAAGTTATTCATCTTTTCTACATTTTAAGATTTTTAGTACACTTTTAGTAAAGTGCATTGTGTATTAAACAGTTTCTTTAAAAATATTATACTATGAAATAAAATTGACTTTCACATGTGTCTTATATTTCTGCTACCGTTTTAGAAACATTTCCCATGGAATTTAAATAAGCCATTAATTTGCCCACAATTGCTAATTAAAATGAAACAACAGTTAGTGAACCTTAGAATTTTATGCTCTTTATCTCTTTTAACATTCTCAAGATAGAACTTCCTAAGACCTCAAGATGCTCTTATTTCATTATTATTGACTAGACATTTTTTTTTCTTAACCCAGCTAGCATTTTGCCTTGAAGTAAAATTTGAGAGCTGATACTCTAGAGTGTTGTGTATTGTCTGTATTTCCTCTACTGTAGATAAAATATTGTAGTTTTTCTTCTTTTTTTTAAATTAAATACCATGACTTACAAAAATGTTCATAATAGTTATTTCAGATGATTCAACATCAATCCCATCACCAGTGTAACCATCCCTCCTCCAGTGTCCCCTGTTTTCCATTCTCACAGCGGTGAAACCCTTAGGAGGCACAAAATAATTTGCTTTATATTGCTTGTTACAATAAATATCTCACAATGGTGTTACTAAAGTCACTGTCTCAGGATTTACTGAGCTGTTTGGTACTAGGTGAACCTTCTTTGTTGTGGTTCTCCTTCACTGAGCTTTTGGGCTTCTATTCAGCTTTCCTATCTAATTTGCTGTGCTTCTACTGGGATGTCAGTACTGTGAGATCTGGAAATGCTGTGTGCCCACATAGTGTTCCAGGAGATATGGAACTCGGGTGATTCTACAGCTTGGTATCTCTTTGAGATTAGTTTTTGTGAAGCTGTGAAGCTGGACTGTTTACATGCTGGAGGATGTTGGGTATGGATGGGGAGGCTAAGGCTCTTGGCCTGATAGAGACTTGATCCAGCCCAATTCTGAAAAGGTCGAGAATTCTGAGACAGAGACTGAGCTTACCTGGAATGACTCAGTGGCTGCAACATTAGACCTGTAAGTTCATGGGCTGTGGAAAATCTTAATCACAATCCAGACAAATGTTGGGTGTGATTCGTAATGCATAACGAAGGAGAAACGACTTCTTTAGATACTCTCCTGAGTGTCCTCTGGGCCTCATAACAGAGCTGAGATCTTCTGCTATTGGGAGCTGGGTTGTAGGTAGTCTCTCCAGTAGTTCTCAGAAGTGTGGGTGCTCCATGCAGCAATTCGTGGCCAACAGAGATTTTGATGCAGGACACCGAGGATTTGATGCTTCTCCAAGTTTACAGTAGCTGGACACTCCAGGCTACCCTGGCACTGCTCAGGGGTTTCCAGGGTTGCACCCTACAATGCTTCAGTAGCTCTGTGGTGCAGGGAATTGAACCAGGGTTATGTTCTAATCACTGTGCTGTCTTCAGATTGCATATTTTAATCTTTATTCATTACTCTTTTCTTCCAATGAATTTCTCTTTGTTGGTTTTAAGTAACAACATTTCAAAACCCTCATATTATCCAAAAAATTCCTTATTGGTAGTTGTCCTCACTCTATAACTTAATATGCATTTCCTGTTACAACTCTGGATGAAAGTTGATTTTTCAGTTACTGGATTCTCACTTTGTAATTTGTACCATTTGTAGTTTGTTCCTTATTGTTACTTCTACAGCTTTTCACATCAGAACCATAGGTTTGGCCCTTTCCACACAAGAATTTATTTAATGTTTGTATAAATTCCATTATGCTGGAGCGATAGCACAGCAGGTAGGGCATCTGCCTTGCACGCAGCCAACATGGCCGACCCGACTTCGATTCCTCCGCCCCTCTCGGAGAGCCTGGCATGCTACCGAGAGTATTCGATATGCCAGACACAGTAACAACAAAGTCTCCAATGGAGACGTTACTGGGCCCGCTCGAGCAAATCAATGATCAACAGGAGGGCCTTTACTTACTTACTTACTTACTTCCAGATAAATTTATCACATTTTCCTGATAGTTCAAGTCAGAATCTGTATTTTCTTTTCTTCCTTGTATATAGCTTTTTGTTACTCATGTCATAATTGTAAAGTTGTGTCCTGTGATATTTAAAGAATCTATGGCATTGTTATAAATAATGCTGCTACTCTCATGGGTGAAAACCAATTATCAATACAAAATGAGCTGGGCTGGATTAGGATGAGTCAAGAGGATGATTCCTAATTTTGACTCTGACATTTACATAGTGATATTTCAGTCCTACCTAGGTGTGAGAAGATTTAATATTTCTATAAAATAAGTGCTTAATGAGATATACTTTTAAAATACGGAGGAATTTTAAATGCTGTTGCAAATAGAAAAAAGAAAAGTTACACACCATATTTGTGTAAAGGAGGCAGGCTGGTTCATGTTGATCTGTCAAAAAAAATAGGAACCTATAAAGTGAAAGCAGATAAACCTATAAACCAATAAAACCTTGAAATGCAGAGCATGACCAAAAACAGTAAGAGACTAGTAGTAAAAAATCTCAAAGAGAACAGTTTTTGTCATAGGAAAACTAACTCATTTGTTGGAGTCCAGGTGTGTTTTCCCCATGGGGCTACGGACAACCGCAAACAGATATCAGCTAAAAATGTGTAGCAGGATATGGACATCTGTGCAGAGAGGCTGCTGGGGTGACGAAAGAAGAATGAAGCATCCTGATCTCTCTTTCCCTTTGGAAATACTCATTGTCTTCCCATGCAAGGCATGGAGGGAAATCTCACAAATGTCTGAAAGCAATCCATGAAAACTTGGCTACTCAAACATCTGAATTTGTTTTTCTTACCATCTCTTTCAAAGCACCATTAAAAATAGTAATTATATCAGGAATTTCCAGTGACAACATTCTTTCTTTAATGAAGACAGCATTAGCACATCTAATTTGATATTTTTCAGATTGGGGAGAATAAATGACTTGAAAGTCAAAACAAATAAATAACATAGAAAAAGCAAAATAAGTGGGGCAAAAGTCAAAAAACAAACATCGTGACTAGTGAGTTCATTTTGACCTATCTCTATTTCTCTGTGATACCTGCTCACTTTTAATCTCAAGAGAACAGGCAGCAATGTATTTTCTGGAATAAGAAACAAGACTTGATTGCCAGTTATAAATCTGGTTTTAAAAGAGACAGAGACCTTTCTGATGGCAAAAAAGAAGTTAGTAGAAATCAGTGGCAAGATGGGGAATGCAGGTGTAATGAAGAAGCCCATAGTTAATATTACCTGTAAAACAATCTGCCCATCAGTCCTAACTCATGCTACCTTCTCATTATCACTTTTGTATATTTTTCCCCCTCAGTACATTTCCTAGAAACCTCTGCTACTTGTCTGCATGCAGAACTGCCTTTAGAGTGATTCATTGCACCGTATGAAATTGTATTTGTCCATTAAAATAATCCAGAGCCCTACTTAAATTTTACTCTTTTGTCTAATTCAGAAATTTATGGGTCCTTTATCCATTCTTGCTCTTGTTCTGCAAACTAAAGACACTATTATAGACATATCTGCAGAGTAAGATAGATCAAAGCAGCAGGAGACCAGAGAATGAAATACATGGTTTCTACAAGGCTTTGCTTATGTCTCATTCTGTGCCACCCTCAACCCCTGAATAATACTTGAGGCCTGTAATAGAAGTATTGGTGAGTTCCTTACTCTTTCTGACCTGGTAGAAAATGAAAAATAATGAATCTTAGGGACAGAGTTTAACCAGCAACATTTAATGTAATCCATTAATTGATGTGGAGGTTGAGATATTAGTAGTGGATGAAATCTTGTGCCCATGTGTGTAAGAGCTAGAGAGCCCTACACATCTTATCCAACCAGTCATAAGAGCTTATCATTCTATGACTATAGCGTTATGAACAAATACTTCTGTAAACTCAGCGTGGTTTGGCGCATGCCTCAGGCAACTGCAAGCTAATGTCCGAGCTCACAAAGCAGTGCAGAGATGCGATCAAGGAAGATCTCAAAGAGAGAAGAGCAGAAGTGCTGGTAGATGCGGCAGAAGCTGGGAAAAGTATTCATAACGCCCGCCTGTCCTTTGCCAGCTACAAGACCAAGACGACTGCCCTCCGACGTCCTGATGGATCCATCACATCCTCCAGAACGGCAATGGAGAAGATTATCTATGACTTCTACTCAAATCTCTTCGATAGCCATGTCCACTTGCCGACATACCAAATTCCACAGGATGGGTATGTCATTCCCAACGTTCTCCCTTCTGAAATCTGACACACCATTTTGTCGGTAAAGACATGAACAGTACCCGGCCCAGACAAAGTCAGACCTGAACACCTGAAGAACCTGCTGTCAGTACTCATCAATACACTGGCTCGGCACTTCACACGCTACCTGTCTGAATGCAATGTTTTGTCCCAATGGAAAACCAGCAGGACCGTACTACTGTTCAAGAAAGGAGACATCCATGACATTGGCAACTATCAACTCGATCTGCCTATTGTCTGTCATCTACAAGTTGTTCACTCAAGTCATCCTAAATAGGATTGGCAGAACACTAGATGAAGGACAACCATGCGAGCAAGCCGGGTTCTGCAAAGGATTCAGCACCATCGACCATATACAAATGATAACCAAGCTCATTGAGTTTTCTCGGGAGTTCAAGATGCCGCTCTGTTTTACGTTCATTGATTTAAAGAAGGCCTTTGATTCTGTTGAGATGGAAGCGGTCATTGAAGCCCTAGCTAAGCAGGACATTCAAGCCCAATACTTCAAGATCCTCCGTGAACTGTATTGCGGGTTCTCTACCAGGATCTCACCATTCTACAAAGAAGTAATCATTGATGTCAAGAGAGGGGCTCGGCAGGGTGATACCATTTCACCGAAACTCTTCAGTGCCACTCTTGAGAACATCATGCGAAGACTGGAATGGGCAGAAATGGGAGTGAAGATAGATGGTCGGCAACCACACCACCTCCGCTTTGCTGATGACAT